GCTTGAATTTCAATTTTTGATGAGTTATAAAGTGAAGCTTTACTTATTTTTGGTTGGGGACTGAGGCATATATTTTAGAGGTTTTCAGGGCTAATTTTTGTTTGAAAAAATTACCAAAAAAACACTTTAAAATGGACTATCTATGCAACTTACCCCACCCCAATTTTTTCTCACTTTTTTCTCCAAACAACCTTTCGTCATAAAAACCCTTAAGGTAAAAAGTTGTTATTTTTTGGACGGATATGTCCTGTACAAACCAAATCAATTCGCGGGTCCCAAGTAGTGTACTGCCGGAGCACATCTTTGCACTGCCGGAGCGCGTCTTTGCATTACCAGAACGCGTTCTCATAATGCCGGAGCACTATGGTTCAAACCTGTATTGCCGAAGCACACATTCAGAATGTCGGAGCACTTGTTTATACTGCCGGAGCGCGGTCCTCTATTACCGGAGCGTTGTGGCTCCAGAGACTTCATTGTCAGAGTGCGTCTTTGTACTATCGGAGCGAGTTCTCATAATGCCGGAGCGTTGTGGCTCAGACCTGCATTGCCGAAGCACATATTCAAAATGCCCAAACACGTAATTGTACTGTCGGAGCATGTGTGAAAACTGGAGAGAGAAGGCCATGCGAAAACAAACAAAGGTAGTTTAGCCTTATTTCCTGCTACTTTTGGGTTTTGGGTTGGGGGGTTATTTGCGAGAAAAGGTGATTGGGGAAAGAAGTTAGACAAAAAATTGGGGTGGGATAAGTTGCATAGATAATCTATTTTAGGGTGGTTTTTGTAATTTTCCCTTTTTGTTTTCTGGTTATTAAGGTTTAAACGGTGACATATTAGGTTTTCCATACGTCTCTATTTTGTGTTTCATTTAGTATCTTTTAAGTTACTTTTTATTGAGTAGGATGATGATAAAAATGTAATGTAAATTGGAATAACGATTGAAATCAAACGCAAAAGAACAAACCCAATGTAATTACTGGTGCTACAAATTGTTTCTAGAAACACTTACCTAATAATTTATCATATTACAATAACTAAAAGCTGAAAAAATTTATACATAATAATTTATCATATTACAAAACTAAAACCTGAAAAATTTGTAAGGAAGCAGCCTCAGCTAACATCTTATCAGCTTAAATTTTTAAGGAAGTAGTCTTAGCTAACATCTTATCTGCGTCAACTACAAGAATCTTGGTTAACTTTCTTTTTTCATATCTTGTAAGAGTTACAGGAGTCACAATCACCAGTTACCACCTCCATCTTTGAAGTTGTAATAAAACCATCTTTCTCAATAGTACTCACAATCACCAGCTATCATCTTTGAAGTTGTAATAAAACTATCCTTCTCAATAGTGCACCCCACACACGCTAGTTCTACCAGTATATTTCTCTATCGTATGCATATCCAAAATTTATCAAAACCCCAACAAATAAATTTAAATAAAAAAAAACCAACAAAAAACAGAGAACAATATGAATAAGAACAAGAAACATATGGCTCATATTACTTATAAGTAAGACTAACAATGAGCAAAACAAAAAAGAGAAAAAAGTACAAGATTCAACACAACAACTGAATGACCAGTTCTCTTGTGCACATCACAGAATGCTTGAGAAAACATTCTGATTAAATGCATGCTTGAGAAAACATAAAACATTGTGTTCGTGGGCGTGTGCTACTTAGTTCATTATGGGCATCTGCTACTTAGTTCTCAAAGGGTGGTCTAACAATTGTTGGAAGGCATACAGCTGGTATTCTCCAGTATTGGACTGGGGTGATGAAAACCCATTTCTACATATAACCCTTATATATGACATGCACCAAACAAGTTGTGTGTGCGTGTGCTACTTAGTTCATACTTAGTGGTGTAACAATAGTTGGAAGGCATACAGTTGATATTCGCTGGTATTTGACTGGGCGATGAAAGCTCATTTCAATATATGACTCTTATATATGTCATGTAACAAACAAGTTGTCCCATAACCATTGTGGTCATGTGCTACTTAGTTCATTGTGGGCATGTGCTACTTAATTCTTATAGGATGGCGTAACAATTGTTGGAAGGCATACAGCTGGTATTCGACTGTGGCGATGAAAACTCATTTCTATATATAACCCTTTGAGTAACACAGGAGATCAGTTGTATTCAAGTAAAGATCAGTTGTATTCGACTAGGGCAATGAAACCGATTTCTATATATAACTCTTTGAGTAACAAGAGATAGATTCAACTTGAGCAATCGACTGAACAAAACAATACAGAGGGTTCAAAAGAACAACCAAACTTCAGCAATCGACTGAACAAAACAAATATGGTTCAAAGGAAAAAGCAGTAAAAAGCAGCAGTGAACAAAACAAATATGGTTCAATTGTTCTTTTTGAAGAAACATGAATATTTTCTTTTCAGAACAAAAAATGGAATATATCTAGTGACTGTGCCGAATTTCAGACCTCCATTAGGCAATTATCTGTCTTCCTAAGCGACATGTACAACTTGAGTGAAATTATGACATGAAAAAATATGTGCGAAAGAAATCCTACTCATTTGCAATTATTTAAACAATCAAAATAAAGCGCATCTCCAAACTGTGGGACAATGCAATCTTGGTGTTGAAAACTCTTATAATAACCAAAAAAATCTGTTTCCACCCCTATTTCTTAAATGTAAAGCTTTGAAAATGATTTAAATTGAGCAGATATATAAAATCTTGAAAATAGATTATCCAGATAGGCAGATTTTTTGTTACAAGGTGCACTACTTTTTAAGACTTCATATATATATATATATATTTTATTTTATTTTTTTCTTTCTTTTCTTTTCTTTTTTTTTTCTTTTTTTTTTTTCTTTTTTCTTTTTAAATTCTCATAGATCTGGAGTTCAAGAATATCAACTTTAGGGTTTCTAGTGTTATAACAACTTGATAGGTTTTCAAGGTGCATGTCACTTCTACCTAGGGTTTTTTCTTCCAAAATTATGATTTACATATTGATATTAAACATATATAATAAACTGAATGATTCCAATTTCCTTTATCTCACGCACATTCGCTCTAGAAACATCTAACTGTTGGTTTTTGTTTTTAACAACTTTGGAAATCACTCTACTTGTTTTGTTTTTAATAACTTCTTTGGAAAACACTCTACGTGTTGTTTTGGAAAATATTTTGGGTTTTATAGTTTTTTTTAAAACACTCTACTCCTCTACTCCTCTATTTGTTGTAAAATATTGTTTTGGTTATGCAACAAACCTTCAAAAAAAAATTTAGAACACAATAAACATAGAATATCTCCAACTCCCAAATGATATCTAAAAAGAAATAAAAAAATATTTAGTTTTTTTTAAAACACTGTACTCTTCTACTTTCGTTGTAAAATATTGTTTTGGTTATGCAATATTGAGAAAACAACGAACCTTCAAAAAAAATTTAGAACACAATAAACATACAATATCTCCAACTCCCAAATGATATCTAAAAAGCAATAAAAAAATATTTTCGAATATGCGCCAAAGCACTATGTAGAATACAATAAACATAAAAAAATAGAAATAAGAAATAACTTGCCGCTTTCATCCTCTCTGTTTTGAACAATCAACCTCTATTTATTTCATTTTAGAATTTTTATCCATTATGCGACTGTTTTGAACCATCAACCTCTTTTCATCTCTATCTTCATAAAAATTTTACCCATTATTCAATCTCCTCCAATGTTTTAGATTTCCAATGTCCTGTTCTAGATTTCCAATGTTATAATATATTTATTTCTACTTCCACGTATCTACTTTATAAACTTCAATTATTTTTCTCACTAAACTCCAAATATTTTTTTCAATTATTTTCTTCACTATACTCCAAGTAAATAATTTTATGAACTTTATAATACTTTATAAAACTCCAAATATTTTCTTCAATTATTTCCCTCACTAAACTCCAAATATTTTTTTAATAATTTTAAACAAGTAATCTTACTGCCTATACTTTATAATACTTTATAAAACTAATCAGGAGAAGCATCTTTTGAAGACACATTTACAGCCTTCGAAATAGAAGCATCTTTTGAAGACACATTTATAGCCTTCGAAATACATTTGTAGCCTTCGAAATTGGTTTTATGACTAGATTATCTAGTAAACCTATAAATAAAAAGTGCACAGTTCTAAAAAGTGAGGGCCTACAATTATAATTGTCCATTGGCACCAGCTGCTTATAACATATATCATTGCACCATAGGCATAACATGCATAAGGTGCTTCTTATAATTATATACCGTTGCACCATGGTCACCGCATGCATATGGTGCATTATGCATGCAGTCCTACAAATCATGTGTGATGCATGCTCTGATGTGATGCTTTCCATGAGAGTGCAGATATTGTGATATGGGGTGCGTAATTAGTAGTAAAAAAACCGTGATGCTTCCAATGAGAGTGCAGATATTGTGATATGGGGTGTGTAATTAGTAGTAAAAAGACCAAGAGAAGCCCAAAACAAGATCTGGGGTGTGTAATTAGCAGTAAAAAGACAGAAGCCCAAAAAAAAACTCCTTTGTGTTAATGCTTGGAGTTGACAAACTTTATATTTTCATGGCAGGGATCAAATACCTCGAACCCCCAGCTTTTCCCCATAGTCAAATATAAAGTAGCACTAGAAGACCGCCTATTATTTTACAGTCCAATTGCACCCATGGCTCGTTCCTGCAAATGTAGGTATTTTATTTTCCTTTGACTCGCTGTTGAAGTGGTCGAGGTGAAGTCTAATCCAATCAAAACAAATGGAAGGAAAATATAAAATAAGATTATCTATAAAATATAGAGGTCACTATCATTCTTAAATTTCATATGGTTGGTAAGTGTCATTGAATAGACACAAAGCTCCAATTGAATAGACAGTTTCAAAAAAAAATTTCTTAAACTTGATGACTCACCTCAAACCATCCAATTTGACATCTAATTAAAGGAACTGATTGTGACCTCCATGTACAAAAGATAAAAGATAAATGATCTCTTTATAAAGAATCCAATATAAAATGCCAGCATACTCCTAAAATGACTTGTTAATATACAATGATCAAGCAAGTACATATAGTAGTACTCTCTTTTTTCACTTTACAAATAATCTACCAAGATTTTCTTTGTTCTAACATGCTGATATCTCCCAACTGTCGACGGGTAGGGCATTTCTTAACCTCATAGTTTGTATGAGTTTCTTGTTTCATGTTCCACATGAACATACAATTTCAACACAATGCTCCACACGAATATACAATCTCACCACATCAATCACCAAAAACACAACTCCAAACTTTATTCCAACTCCGAAATGATGATACTACGCTAGACCAGCCTCTTTGAGAGCAGCCTCAAAAAGTTCCTCACTCTCCCACGATGAAATCTGCTATCACAAAATTAAAGAAGCCCATAAAATTAAAGTAGCCCAATGTTCGACCATGTTTTGGTGAAGGAACACGTATGGGTGGGAGTATGTGTTTGTGAGTATATTTTATAAAATAAAATGGAAGATTTTTGTACAGGAGTATAGATGAACGTACAAGAGAGATTTTGGTGGACTATAGGTGCGTGGGTGGTTGTATAAGAGTGAGAGTTTGTTTTATGATGATCAGATTACCTCTTTTATTTTGTGCTGGAAATGTTTTTCTATTTTCTCCATCAGTTCAGCATCATCATGTCCGCTCATAAAGTTAAAAACAGCTCCTGAAAGTCAATCATGATAAGTTAGATAGAAAATTTCTCTATTCTTACTGAAAATGAAAATTAAAAAGAATCCATAAAATTGGAAACTTAAATCAATCCTACATAGATCTAAAGGCCACAACCTTTATTACATGATGATAACACACCACGCACATATCCTAAAAAGCTAATTATAAGAGCTACATATAATGGTCAATGAATAACTACTATTACATGTGATAACAAACACAAATAACCCAAAAGGTTTACTACAGAATTCAAAAACTCGACCGACTCCACACATATATAGACGAGTCACTCAACCTCAACAATTAGCCCCATTTAGTTCCCATTTAACTACTCAAGCACATGGGAGCCCGTAAAATTCTCGACGAGTGCTGTTAATAATAGTGCTATGGGACTTGTCCAAGTCCACAGATTCAGGCCAGTAAGTCAGCCTTACCCATAAGGTAAGGCCGAGTTACCCCAAGTTGTGCATACAACTCGGGGCACATAAATTTCAAAAACTGTATGTTTGCTACCTTTCTTATTTTTCAAATAGAGCACGAAGTAACAGTGGAGTCTCACTTCTCCCACATTCTTTCACTCCCTGTTCCCGAATGCTTCCCCCCTGCCCCCTCTTTAACCACTCTCTCCACCCCCCACCCACCCACCCACCCACCCACCCAAAAAAAAAAGACAAAAAAAAAGACAAAAAAAAAAGCCACGGCGAGTCCACTCGGACTCACCTCAAGTATTGCCGGCTCCTAGCCTGAGCTGAGTAATTAAACATTACTTTATTTATATGGAATATAGATAAACTGCTCAATGGAAAGACATAGAAATCTAACCTTTCCGACCAAAACGGCCAGCTCGACCAATCCTATGTATATATGCTTCGTAATCAGGTTCAGTTCTTCTTCTTTGACGAGGATTCTGAGGATCGGGATGCTGATATTTGATAGGGAGATCAAAATTCACCACCAGATTCACCTTTAAAAAGAAAACCGGCTAGAAGTTAATTATCAAAAGCAAGGAAAACGAAACAGATTCACTTTAAGAAAAGAAAACTGGCCCGAACTTGATTATCAAAAGGGGTAGAAAAAAAAACTTTATACAACTTAAAAACTAAGAAAAAGACCATATCTAAAGAATTGCATGTGAATTACCTGGGCTTGATCAAAACCACGAGCCAATACATCAGTAGATATGAGAACTTTCGTCAATCCAGACTTGAACTCGTTGACAATGCGATCCCTGGCATCTAGTTCAAGTGCACCTTGAATTGATGTGCAATCCCATCCTTCTTTCTCTAGTGTACGATGCAAGATGCTCGCACTTTGCCTCGTATTAACAAAAATAATTGTCTGACCCAACTTTTGAGCCAACAAAAAGATCTTGTTCTTCAACACCTCTAACTTGGCAAGCTCATCCGGGACCTGAACTTTATACTGTTTTATAGTATCCAAAGCAAGCTCTTCTTTCTTAACAAACATATGATTGCCATCCTTTACAATTCTTGATGCAAAATCTTTCACAGTTTCATTAAATGTTGCAGAGAATAAAAGGACCTGTAAGATAACATAAAAAGGTAAATATGAAGTTGTTTGCTTTGTCTTAAATCAGGACAATATGCCTTTGCATTAGTAGAGAAAAAATGTCCTGGCAGATTTCAGGATAACCCCAAAACATATTATTGGATATAAAAATAAGCAACCAAATAATTTACGAAAATCCTGAAACAAAAATTAAGATATAAAAACCAAATGCATATACTCAGACATCCTAGCATGGTAATGCCGTGATTTTGGTACAGGGAGTCAAGATAATGTTCTAGTCTATGGTGCATAGATAATTCAATTTGCCCACAAACAACGCAAGTTGACAGCATCCTAGCAACTAGGGACAAGCCCCACACGATGAATCCAAAAGTCCAACAAAATCATAAAAAGCAGTAATATGCTCAGAAATATCACTACCAAAACTACACAAAACCCAACACATAACCATCCGCATGCCATCACATCAACCTACATAACTACTTTTCCATCATCTGAAAGAAAAAAATCTGAAAATCTAGGCATTGTACCCAAAATCAGTCTATCATTAACTAAAGCATGAAGGTGAAACAAGTCAAATCTGGTGGTTGAGGTAATGCACAGTCCCTGAATCCAGTCCCACAAAAAAAAGAAAACAAGGCAAAACTCATTTTGCTCTTTTATTGATCAAAACAAAACAAAAACTACTTTCTGAGTTCCAGTTATAATTTTTAACGGAAGAGAAAACACAAAATCACTAACAAAAACACAAACTTCAGTTCAAATAAGTTAGTCAAACTTCCTGGACTCTGCCAGCCTATGATCCAACTGGTTCTAGCAAGAGACTGGAAATGTATCATCAGATAGACTCCAACAAAACCAGTAAATACCCAAATCCAACTCATGATCATCAATGTACCACCACATGACCCATATAACTATTTCAGTAACACTTGACAATATAAAGTAATCCATAAAATATAGCTAAAATGGTCCATTTGAATATAAAATGGAAACTGGCTAAATCTGGTTGTTAAAGATATGCACTATCCCCATGCACCAATTCCTCATGAGATGAAAAGGAAAAAAGACATGGTTTTGCTGCTCTGTTGATCAAACAAAAACAAAACCATATTCTAATTCATGATGAATATCTTATTCACAAAAAAGAAATATCGCCAACAAACTCATCACACAAAACAAAACTCAGATCAAATGAAGCTAGTCAAATTACCTTAACTTTGCCAACCGAGAAAAAGGGTACATCTAGTTCTTTGAGTATAATCGTGCAGCATCCAAAATATCCACAGAAACCATCTTTACTACATTGTACTTTTTATTTCTTTACGACAGGATTCTATTAAAAATCTCATGGAGGCGTCGCCTTTGACATAACACCTAGCAGTTGATTTATCATAACATTCATTTAATAGGAAAGGAAAAGCGAAACCTATATGCTTGCAAACAAAAGAAGAGCTCTCCACACAACTCTTGGATTTCTCAGTGACCGTTCACTTCAGTGGTCACAGATAACTTCCTTTTTCGAGCTACCTTCGTTTATGGCCCTAACTGCCCTCTTAGGCATCAGGAGCTCTGGCGGAACTTCAGTCAATTGCTCCAACTACTAATCTCCCCTGGCTCTTAGGTGGAGACTTGTCAAATGGACCCACAAAAAATATAATGGTGGTCGCCTCACTGCCACTATGAGATTTTTTGGAGTACATAGATAGCATCCCTCTCATTGATATTCCCTTCTCAAAGGCTTCTTTGACTTGGTCCAATCATGTGACAAATCCTATTATGACCAAAATTGATAGATTCATGGTCTCCCACCTTTGATCATAAGCCCATTCTCTTGGATACCAATCCTGTGCAACGCTCGGTCAAACCTTTTAGACTTGAGCTTTTCTGACTGGAAGTGCCTTCCTTCACCCACCTCTTCAGATCTCGTTGGTCCTCCCTATCTGTAACAGGGTGGGCAGGCTTTAGACCCTCAAAAAAACTACAATTGTTAAAGGCTTCCATTAAGCAATAGAGTCGCTCGCTTCCTACTAACTTTGGGGAGCTTTTTCCGCTGATATCCAGTCCCTAGACACCCTGGAAGAATCTCGTGCTCTCACGCCTCAAGAACGCGTTGATAGGGTTACTGCTAAACTCTACCTTCACCACACTCTAAGGCTTGAGGAAAACTATCAGTACTAGAGATCAAGGATCAAATGGCTTAAAGTAGGGGGCAGAAACACTATCTTTTTTCCACAAAACGGCTAGCTCTAGGAGAAGGGAAATGTTATTACCCATATCACTGCTGGCAGTCATTCCTTCTATCAACCTGATCAAATGAGTTGTATTTTCATCAGATACTTCAAAAATCTCTTTTCCCAGCCTCATCATACCTCACCTTCTTTGGGCAATCTCTCCTTCCAAGACTCTCACCTTTGATGAAGTTGCCTAGCTTGAGAGAAATTTTACCCAAGAGGAGATTCATAAGGTTGTCTTCAATCTACCCAAAGACAAGGCCCCTAGGCCAGACAATTTCCCCATTGTTATTTTCCAGAACTTAGACATCGTTGCCCCTGACCTTCTTGCCTTCTTTGAAGAATATTTCCGTAGACGTCATCTAAATTCAGCCTTAAATTTCACCTTCAAAGCCTTGGTCCCATAATTGAAGGCGCTGAAAAGCTGAGAGACTCATCTTATAAGATTCTTGCCAAGGTCTTAACCTCTCACCTCCAAAAGGTGCTTAGCTCTGACATTTCGTCTACTAAATCTACCTTTGTTGCCAATAGACAAATCCTAGACGGGGGCCTCACGACTCATGAAGCCATTCACTTCAGAGCCATTTCTGGCCAGAAGAGCCTTATCATCAAACTAGACTGGTAGAAGGCCTATGACCATCTCGATTGGGATCTCCTTGACCTTATACAAGCCCATATGGGTTTTGGCACTAAATGGAGAATGTGGATCAAGGCATGTATTTCTAACCCTTTGTTCTCTATCCTTCTCAATGTTACCGCAGTTGGCTTGAGGCCTGAGGCACGCAAACCCTCTCTCACCCTTTCTCTTTGGAGTTACTCTTTTCCAGAACCATCTCCATACTCTATGACAGGGATCTCCTCACTGGTTTTAGGACTTCCTCAGAAGGCCTTGTCCTCTCCCATCTCCTCTACGTAGACGAGACCCTCATCTTTTGTGATGCCAACCCCAACCAGCTAGACAACATCTGACTCTTTCTTAGGAGTTTCGAACTGTTAATTGGGATGGATGTCAACATGTCTAAGACCAAAACGTCCCTCCCTTCTACATATCTTGGCTATCCTCTCTGTCTAGGTAAACCCAAAAAACACCTTTGGGATAAACTTGTTGAGAAGTTTAGTTGGAAGTTTGCCAGCTGGAAGAATCGATTCATATCCCTAGGGGGGAGAATCACCCTTATCAAAGCCACTCACAAACATCCCCATTAACCACATGTCCCTCTTCCAAATCCCAGCTTTTGTTCTCCAACACCTTGAAAAGCTCATGAGAGACTTTTTGTGGTCTGGGTCTACTGAAGATCACACAATCCACCTTGTAGCTTGGGAGAACGTCTGCATTCCTAATAAACTTGGAGGCTTGGCACAAGGAGACTTAGAACCATGCACCAAGCGTTGTTGGAAAAATGGTGGTGGAAGCAGGTAATACAAGCTACGCAAGAGCTTGAAGATGATGGGTGGTTGCCCAGATTCCCCTCCCAAAAATCTTCAGGGGACTGGAAATGCATCTCTTGTAAAAACGCTTTTCTAAAATATTCAGGAGCCTGGAAATGCATCTCGTGTAAAAACGCTTTCCTGAACTACATTAGATTCAACCTAGGGAATGATTAGAAAATTAGATTTTTTTTAAAATAAATGGATAGGAGACTTACCCCTTAAACAGGTCTTCCCTTCCCTCTTCCTCCTGGCTCACAATCAGGCAGTAGTGATTACTGATTATGCCAAGCTTAAAGGTTCCTCCCTTGTCTGGACTCCTATTTTTAAGCGGAACCTTACTGTCCAGGAAACCTTCTCTTTGAATTTCATGCTTCAAATACTTGCACCTCTCTTCAGCACACTCCTTGGTCATGATTTTATCATCTGGTCCCCTAGCCCTTCTCGCACTTTCACGATCTCTTCTTTCTACGACTCCTTACTTCCTAACCTAAACCCCTCACCCATTCTCAATAAAACTTGGTCTCTACCTATGCCTCACAAGATTCAGGCTTTCATTTGGGTTCTCCTTCAAGGCAAGGCCCTTACATTAGGCCAACTGCAGAGATGTGGGCTCTCTTTACCCAATCAATGCACCCTACATCTCCAAGAAGAGGAGACTATCCCTCATCACTTCATCCATTATGAGGTCTCTTCCTGCATTTGGTCCTCTCTTCTTAAACTCTTCGGCCTTCAATGGGTCACTCCCCCTTCCCTAGCTAGTCTATTCTCTGCTCTTCTATCCCTGCCATTTCCAAGAAATGGAAGAAAACTATGGGAACTGTCAATGGAAGCTCTACTCTGGAGCATCTGGCAGGAAAGGAACTCTAGGACCTTTAGAGGAAACCCTAGGCGTGAACGTTCCTTCTTTGATTTCGTCCTTAACTTTATCTCCTTTTGGGCAAAAGTCATTCCTATCTTTGCCAACTTTTGTCTCACTCACTTTCTAGCTAATTGGGAGTCCCTCTTGAACATCTCGGCCCCTCGATCAGATTCTAAGCTCAATCAACACCCCCAAGACACCCCCCCCCCCCCCGCCAGGCTTCCTTAAGTTAAATACAAATGGCTCATCCTTAGGAAATCCTAGCCGCTCTGGTTTTTGGAGGTACTTTGGCAAATTCAGACAGTATATTTCTCTCCTTCTCGAGGTACATAGGGATCACAAGCTCCCTTTCTACAACCTTATTCCTATATCTTGAGTTTTCTCCACTTGTTTTATTTTATTGTACCCCTCTCTTACTATCTTTCTCCCACTAACCCTCTTCATCTGAAGTTTGAGCGCCCAACTTGAGGGTTGCCTTCATCAATCTAAGATGATGTAATTCAATATCTTATAATTATAGAGTTAACCTTTCCTCATAAAAGAGAGTAACTGAATAACTGATTATCATATTTACCATCTTAAAATATATACACGCAGCTCCTGTCAATAGAAATAGCGACAAATGCAACATACAAACTAAATATGGAAGGTAGAATATCAGAAGCATTAAACCTTATTCTTAAGAAAATACATGTCCATATAAAGTGAATAACAAACCTGACAGTTAGGATCTGAATTGGATTTATTTCCTTCAATAGCTTTCATGATCCTCAGAGAATCATCCTTAAATCCCTCCTGCAAAACAAAACACAAAACCAGCATTGTGTATACAATAATAAATATCATATTATTACTTGGATAATAACTTTGTCAAATGCAATGTAAATTGATGCCACAATCCAATACATTGGAAAGAACAAACCAATGCAATTACTGGCGCAACAATTCTGTCAACCAGAATCACTGATATAACAATTTATCATACTACAAATACAAAAGTAGGCATATACTATGCTCCTGAGGGAGCATAGTGTAAACCTACTCCCCCGGTAAGAAAACCTACTCGCTAGGATTTTTTTTGTCATAAAATTTTGGGAACAACCTAAGAATCACTAGGAAATCTACTTGAAAGAAAAAATTGAATTCTAATAAGTTTTTTAACACTAAGAACTCATCCTCCAAAAATTGGACGGTCTCTATTCAATCTTGAGACATTATTTTTTTCAAGTGCATAGATGGTGCAATTAGGGTTTTTTTATTGAGGTTAATCTATGGGTTGATGAGGTTACATCCGCAAAATTTGGGGTTCTAAAAATAATCCTAGATGAAGTTTTACCCAAGAAAACTATTGCAATTTTCCTAAAGAATTGTACTCAGTACCACCCCCCTCGAACAAAAACAAAATAAATAAATAAATAAACCAAAAAAAGCATAAAATGAAAAGTTCACAGGAAGGTACCTCAGCTAACATCTGATCAGCCTCGTCAAATACAAGAATCTTTATATATCGAGTGCTTAACTTTCTTTTTGCTATCCACCCTTTCAAAGTTCCAGGAGTCCCAATCACAACTTGTTCAGTTACCGCCTCCATTCTTGAAGTTGTAATAAAACTATTCTTGTCAGTAGGAACTGCGCACATACTCGTTATACCAGTGTATTTCCCCATCCTTAAAAGCACCTCCCGGTTCTGCAAATCCCAAACTTCATCAAAACCCTAGAAATTAAATTTAAAAACAAAAAAGGAAGCAGGAAGCAAGAACATGATGAAGAAGAACAAGAAGTACAGGGCTGATATGACTGAATATGTAAGAAAGCTAAGAGTAAACCAAAGTAGAAGAATAAGTAAAAGATTCAACATTAAACCTGAATAGCTAGTTCTCTTGTGGGGCATACACATAGTGCTTGAGGGACTTTGTGATTTGGGTCGACTCGACTCAACATGCCAAGCACAAAACAAGTGGTCTTTCCAGAACCATTGTGGGCTTGTGCTACTAAGCTCTTATATGGTGGTGTAACGATCATTGGAAGGCTTACAGCCTGTATTCGACTGGGGCGACTGAAACCCATTGCTACATATAAACCTTTGAGTAGCTCTTTCGAAAGATTCAACTCCTCAAAAGTTTTTGCTGAGGTGTACAAAGAATCACCTGTTTTAACCTGAATCAAACATTACTCAGAATGTCAAAAAATAACAAATAACATGTAACTATCAAAATGGATATAACCCCTCGTTCAATCAAATCCCCCTCTCTTTCAATCAAATCTCAATTTAAATGTCAAAATCAATTCAGCGGTTCCCTAATTATCATAACCAGTTCAATAAGGAACACCAACAAAAAACTAAGCAAGTCAAAAGAAAAGAAGATATATGATGCACAGTATTACAACCCCTTAATAAAATAATAAAACTCCTTCATGGTTCAAAAGAAAACCAGACTTGAGAAACTGAAGAAAACCAATACGGCTCAAAAGGAAAACCTAAATTGGTGATTGAAAGACCAATTACTACCAATCCTTGGTGGAAACAGAGAGAGAGAGAGAAGAAGATAAAGAGAAAAAAACGGAAAAAACAGAATTGGGTTAAAAAGTAAAAACCCATACTCGAAAAGAGAGAGAGAAAGAGAGATAACCATACCTCTATTTCAGATTCATGTGGATCATCAATGGCATTCTTTCCAGCAAGAGTTAGAGAACCGATATCAACTTTTTCTGGTTCTTCATCAGCTTCTTCATCACCCCATCTCTTCTTTTCGCTTTCAACAGCCACCTTCTCTGCACTCTCCTTCTTTTCGCTTTCAATAACCACCTTCTCAGATTCCTCTGCCATTGTTTAGCGACTGTAACACCAAATTTCTGTCTATTTAAAAGGTCAAGAATTTCTGCCTAACCCTCCCTTACAACAATGGTTCTCTTCAATTGTCAAAATAAACGAGTCCTTGAATTTCTCGCTCTACTGAGACAAAATCAGACATCAATCTACAATCAACAACTAAGTCCTAGAGAGAAAAAAAACATATTACCGTCACACTATGATCTATGGATAAGCAAGGTCTTTCTCACTGTAACGAACTCTTCAATCAATTTAAAAAACCCATAAAATCAAAATTGATCCCAATTCTTTCTTCTCTATAAAAAGTTCAAACAACATTTGCTCTTCTTGCATACTATGCCCTTGCTTAGCCTTTTCTCTCTTACCTTTTCTGTCTTTAAGAGTAGACAGAGATGAAAGTTCCATACTGTAAACTGAAATTTCGTGGCTACCATTTCAAGCGAAATAAATAACTAATGTAGCTCTCTAGAATCAGTCAACTAGAATCACCAATACGTAAATATACGAATCAAGGTTGCTGACTTTTTACATGCAATTGGGGCATCAAATATTATGAATCAATGGAACAAATCAGATTATCTAATTCACTTGTGTATGACAAGAAATGGAGCAGGAAAACAGAATAAAATCCAGGATATTTACAACAGGGAAAATATGGGAAAGCCCTAAATTATGTTAGGGCAAATTTACAACAAAGGAAAATAAGGAAAGCCCTAATTTTTTTTAACAGAGTTTCCTAAAAAAACCGTGAGAGGATCCGAAAACATTAATTAGTAAGAAAATAAAAAGAAAAAAATGGAAATTCTGCATATAACTCACTAATTGAGAGGTTGCGGCTCTTGCTCGCACAGGTTCCTCTAGCTCTTAACGGAAGGGAAGCTCCAAGAAGGAGATTGCAGAGATGGGAAAGAAGAGCGCCCTCGCTTGTTTACGGGGTGAAGATAGCACGCTACGTTTACAGTAACAACGAAGAGCGCCTCAGCAGGTTTTTTCCCATTAAGGCGGTTACTCAATGGAAAAGCTTGCAGAAGTGCGAGGTTGCTTCGATGCTCGAATATGATCTTCTCGATCTGCAGGGAAAAGTTTATATGAAGCCGAGGCTCTAAGCCAATGGTTTAAAAAACGGATCGGTGACCCGGATCGGGCTTCCAAAAAACCGATCCGGATCGGCGAATCGGCTATCCGGATCGAAAATTGGGTGATTCGATCAGAATAAAGCTTAAAAAAAATTCGAAAAAATTATTAAAATTCATTATAAATATTGTTTTTTAGGAATTCAATAAAAAATGAGGGTACTCCATTAAGAATTTTCATGTTTTTGAATGAATATGCGAATATTGATATGTTACTTTCCCTGCATGAACCGCCATTCAGCATTTAATTTACAGTATTTCGTGCTCATCCCTACACTGTTGCTGTTGGGACTCGATATGTGAATAATATGGCTGGGATAGAGTGGTCTCAGAATCATCATCTCTCTCGTTTTTTCTTTGAATAATATGGATTAAAAAAAAAAAAAA